CACTACACGAGCAGTTGGGATTGCATCACAGCTGAGGGACACGGAGCTTGGGGAACCTAGGACTTATAACAAGCAGTAAGCAACCTGCTGTTTGTGCCAGAGGGAGACCTTAACATACCCCTCAAAGTCTCTTGCTGCAAACCCTGAGAAATGGCCTATCATAGTCTTGATGTCTCCAGCAAAACAGTCAATGGCTCTGGCAGAAGGCCTCTCCCAATAGTCCATCCCTGGGCCTGACAAATTCTTGACCAAACTCAGCATTTCTGTGACGGTGCTCCTCATCAGCCATTCTGCTGTCTCAGAAAGCCTTTAATGAAGGCTACTCTCAACAGGGCTCCAAGCAGCAGGATGAGCTCCATCTGCAGGATTAGCCTCAACCATGCCCACAGGGTCCCAGATTCAGCCGACTGTGAATAAGTCCCAGGGGGACGAGTATGTCCTATGTCAGACAGATGGGCTGTAGTAGGATGTCAGTCTGTTATCCCTTAAAACCTGTACAGGAGAGTTTATACCTACCTGATCTTTGCTGTCACTGGAGAAATTCCCTGGGGACAGTAAACAGGCCCAAAACGCAAGCCCTGTCCCCAGTGGAAACATTCTGTGCCTGCTTTCCCCAAATACAGACAGAAACCCCGAAAGTGGCACATGTCACTCCAGTTCCAAAACTGTTGAACTCGCACCTGGTAGCTGCAGTCTCTGTCTTCATGCTGCCTCACGTAAGGCTGCTCCCGGCCCAGAAGTACACAAGTTTGCATCATCAAGATGAAGTTGTGCCAGTCTGCATATTTATGCGTGAATTTGGGGGGGGGGAGGTCTACACTCAGGAGACCTTTGTCTCTGGAAAATCTATCCCCTTTCTTGTAATTTTTCCTTTTATTTTCCACTTAAAGATTTATCTACTAGCATTGTTTCATTAGCAGCCTTCCCAATTACAATAATAAATTATTTGAAAACATCTTCTTTCAGACAATACTAAAATGTAAGATATCCTGTATAAATTCTGAAATGTACTTCTACAGTACTGATTTGATAAAAATCAGTAATTTTAATAATCCATTTGACTTAGTGCCATTTGAGTTCCAAGGTATCAATTAAAATTAATGAAATGATTTTTTTTTTTTTTTAAGATTTTATTTATTTGACAGAGACCGAGCGAGAGAGGGAACACAAGCAGGGGGAGCAGGAGAGGGAGAAGCAGGCTTCCTGTGGAGCAGGGAGCCCGATGCGGGGCTCGATCCCAGGACCCTGGATCATGACCTGAGCCAAAGGCAGATGCTTAACGACTGAGCCACCCAGGCGCCCCTGAAATGATTTTAATAATTTCATCTGGTTCGATTCCTTTTTACTTTTTAAATGAAGTATGCTTTTAGCATTCTTTAGTGTTTATTAATAGGATCCTATGAAGAATGGCAACTAATTCTATTTCTCTTGTTTTGCACATTCTTGTCTCTTCACCTGTTGCAGAAGAGATTAATCGTGAACTCAACTCTTGGGGCTGATAAAATCTTGTTTGTTTCATGTTTCAAATATCCAAACATTGACAGTAATATTTTTAAAATCCTATCTTACTTTAAATGTTAATGAAAGTGGATGATGGGGCGCCTGGGTGGCTCAGTCAGTTAAGCATCTGCCTTTGGCTCAGGTCATGATCCCAGGGTCCTGGGATTGACCCCACATCAGGCTCCCTGCTCAGTGAGGAGTCTGCTTCTCCCTCTCCCACTGCTGCCATCCCCCTCCCTGCTCACACTCCTTCTCTCTCAAAATCTTAAAAAAAAAAAAGTGGATGAATGTGTAAAATTTCAAAAGAAATTTATTAAAGTAAGATGGGTGAGTGTGCATACTTACTATGACAGCCAAACCATAAATCACTGTAAAGGTGCCTAAACTCATGTAATCTTATAAACCTGAAATAAACACAGTATTCCATGTTAACGTCCAGAAATAAAACACATTTGAAGCCAAGTAATTAGTGGAAGTTTTCATTATTCTGTTAGTAAGAAGTATTGAGCACTTGAGTGATTTTGATTTAAAATAAGTCAATAACCAGGAACAATAGTAATTTAGCCAGGGTGCCTGGGTGGCTCAGTCATTAAGCGTCTGCCTTCAGCTGAGGTCATGATCCCAGGGTCCTGTGATCGAGCCCCACATCGGGCTCCCTGCTCAGCCTGCTTCTCCCTCTCTCACTCCCCCTGCTTGTGTTCCTGCTCTCACTGTGTCTCTCTCTCTCCAATAAATAAAATGTAAAAAAAAAAAAAGTAGTTTGGCCAGTTTTTAAATGTAATAGTTAACATTTTCATTGGTAAGCCTTGTTCTGTAATTAAAATAGAAATTTGAATTTCTGTATTAGAAGATATAATTTATAAATGTACAATTTCCCAGCCATATCAGAAAACTGAAAAATTAGTTATGTTATTTACCATAGTTTATTGTAGAAAGTCTATCATGAATATTCTAGAAATGTTTTCTCTATAAAATAACAATGGTTATCACCAAACCATTTTATCAGTTCCTATTTAGCTCAAATAAGTAATAGAATATTATTTTTGAATTTTTCATATTTAAAATCCTACTTCTTGATAAAAAGATTCCATTTCATTTTAAATTTTGATGATGAGAATTTTTTTTCCTTACTCTGCAGGTTAAATTAACTACTGTGGGAGAATTAAAAAATGTAAAGAAAATATGCTTACAAAGTAACTTATACACAAAACAATATAATAAACATAATAAGATAGACTGTAATATAAACATGCTGTAAAATTTTATGGTTATGTCAATAAGTAAAAAAGAATCCTATACACATCTAGTATATGAAACCTGAGGGATTCAATAGAAAGTGACCTAACAATTCAGTATGTTCATCTGAGTGTAGAATTTGTCCCTTTAATTTTTTTATGAATTTTATGTTAATTTACAACAAAAGGACATGTTCCCAATGCATTAAGTTTAAACATTAAAAATTAATACAGTGCATACATACAGCAAATTATAGGATTCTTTTTTACTCCAGACTTCTAGAACTTCTCCTCACCTCAGAGTCAACCAGTGCTATCAAGTTCTTGTGTATCCTTTTGGAAATAAGGTATATATAGTCATAATTACATAGATAAATACCCCATACTTTCATCATTTTTTAAAAAAAATACTTGAGGGGGGGCAGTGAGGGGCAGAGGGAGAAGCAGACCCCCACCCCACCCCCAGCAAGGAGCCTGATGTGGGACTTGATCCTGGGACTCCGGGATCATGACCTGAGCCGAAGGCAGACGCTTAACCAACTGAGCCACCCAGGCACCCTCCCTACTTTGGTCATTAATGGTGGTATACCATCCAACATTTGATTCCTTTTTTCCTTGACAGTACTCGTGATCAATAGTTAAAATAAGGGGAGGTTTGCAAGAATGAGAGAAGAATGATTCTTGAGCATCAAGTATGTGCTTTATGCTCTGCTAGATGATTTGCAAGTCATTTTGGTAAATCTTTAGGACACTCCTACCAGGTAGTGAGAATACCTTCTCTTGAACATAAAAAGGAATAGGCCCAAGAGAGATCAAATCACTGGCTCAGAGTCACATAGCTAGTAAGTAATTGAACTAGAACTTGAATCCAATTCTGCCTACTTTCAAACCCCACAGTCTTTTCACGAGTATGCTGTAGTGTTGTTATTCATGTCCCTGTCCCTCTCGCCTTTTTTTCATATTTGTTATTTAAAGACAGTAAATGACTAAAAGGTTGTAGATATCTGAATTCATTAAATAAAATTTATTTCTCAACACCTTTGTTATAATTAACTTCATTATCTCGTTTTTCTTTCTACCTGTATAAATTGTTAAAAGATGTGGGTTTAGGATTCCATAGACAGGAGTTGAAATCCTGGCTTTGTTTGATCTTGTCCTGGATATTTAACTTGTCTGAGCCTCAGGAACCTTAAAAGTTTAAATGATAGTAACTATCTAAAGGAATTGTTGGGAAAAGAGACTGTACTGATATGTATAAAGAATCTAGCACAGTGCCTAGCAAATAAGAAGGTATCAAAGTTTACGATAGGGCCAGACCATAGGACTTCTCTGTTTCTTTGATTATCCTTGAGGATTTCATGAGTTGTTCATATTAAGTACTGATAACCTTTGTATGATAGCGTGCTTTTGTTTTTTAATTATTTGGAACCCATTTTCAGGAAATGTGAGCTATGAAAAATTATACCTTTCAAATAGAAGAAAAAATTTTTCATTGAAAAATATATTGCCATTATATGTTATTTAAAGATAGTAAACCTTGTTCATTAAAAATATTTGTAATATTCAATTTTGGGTTAACCAGATTTCTGTCTGGAATAGAAGTCATTTTCTATTGATTCCCTCAGATTTCATATACTAAATGTGGATTTTTACTCACTGACATGTAGCTATAAAACTTTCAATGTTACATTCTGTCTTATATGTTATATTGTTTTGTGTGTAAGGAAAGTTATTTTGTAGGTATATTGTCTTTACATTTTTTAATTCTCCCACAGAAATTACTATGTTAACCTGTACACAGGATGAAAATTCACCACAGGAAGTTTAAACTCTTTTTCTGTGATCATATATATAAAAAAATATATGTATGTGTGTATATATATATATATGTATGTATGTGTGTATATACATATGTGTGTGTATGTATGTGTATGGGTTAATATGTGTGTATATATTGTATTTTTTTCCTGTAAGTTGTTTGATAAGTAGAAATTATAAAAGGTCATGATATGTTTTCAATATGTTCTTCGAGTTCTTTTAAAAGTTTGTGTTTTGCAGTGCCCATCTGGCTCAGTCAGTAGAGCATGCAACTCTTGATCTTTGGGTTGTGAGTTTGAGCCCCACATTTTGTGTAGAGATTACTTAAAATCTTTATAAATAAATGTTTGTGTTTTCTTTCCATTTTAGGTTGAGCCCACGTTTTGTGTAGTGATTACTTAAAATCTTAATAAATAAATGTATGTTTGTGTTTTGTTTCCATTTTAGGCCCAGACCTTATCTGTTTAAAGACGATCATAAATTTCCTACAAACAAAGAGAACTTACCAGTGACTATACTCTATGCTGAAATTGGTACCAGAGCATTTAGTAAATTTCACAAAGTATTGTCTGATAAAGCTCAAAATGGGGAAATTCTGTATGTTCTTCGGCATTATATTCAGGTATGGTTTTATCCAAGATTATTTTGTCTATAAAAATTACGTTTGATAATTTCCTTACTAGGTTTTACATAATTTCCACCTGAACAATTAAAGATTTTTTTAAATTAACACACCTATCAAATGTGAATTTTATGTGGAAAAATATATGGGGATTCTGTATATTGTTGATATTCCTTTCTCTTCAGATTCCTTCTTAAATCTGAAACATTTAAAACTTGGATAAAAAACAAAACCATATGTGTATAATATTTGCTAGGATTCATAAATATAGTTTGGTTTTTTTTTGTTTTTTTGAGAGAAAGGAGAGAGTGTGAGCATGGGCAAAAAGGGGTAAAGGCAGAGGGAGAGAGAGAATCTTAAGCAGACTCCATGCTCAGCATGACCTGAGCTGAAATGGAGAGTCAGATGATTAACCAACTGAGCCATCCAGGCACCCCCTTTAAATACAATTATTATTAGTTTTTTAAAGATTTTATTTAAGACAGAGATAGCAAGAGAGAGCATGAGCAGGGAGGAAAGTGAGAAGCAGGCTCCCTGCTGAGCAGAGAGCCTGATGCGGGGCTCCATCCCAGGACCCCCGGATCATGACCTGAGCCCAAGGCAGACGCTTAACTGACTGAGCCACCAGGCGCCCCATAAATACAATTATTTGTAATGAAAATGTATTATGATGAGGAAATCTAATTTAATTGATAGACTCATAGTATATATTAGTTCAAAGTGTGAAGCATGGTATAGGAATGCTGTTAACTATTTCTTAGGTAGCTGACTACAGTTTTATTGAAGTTTCTGATCAAATATGGTGTGTTCCCACTCTTGCAACCTCTCATTGCTGTCACACTCTTGTTACAGTATTCTGGTTTAATGACCGTATAGGACCCATTGCCGTATCTCAAGTTTTATTTCTTTCATGCCTCCACACCATTCCTCCCACCCCATGCGACCACACTCACACAAATGTACTAGAATGACCATTAGAGAAGCACTTTGCTTATTTTTTTTTAAAAGATTTTATTTATTTATTTGACAGAGATAGTGAGAGCAGGAACACAAGCAGGGGGAGTGAGAGAGGGAGAAGCAGGCTTCCAGCGGAGCAGGGAGCCCGATGCGGGGCTCGATCCCAGGACCCTGGGACCATGACCTGAGCCAAAGGCAGACACTTAACGACTGAGCCACCCAGGCGCCCTGCACTTTGCTTATTTTACCACTATATTCCCAACATGGAAAGAGTGTTTTATTTTGAAATATTAGTGATTTGTATATTAATGTTTAAGATAATAAAGCATCACAGATATACTTGCTAATTGCCTACCCATGTTTTTATATTGGATTATTTGGGTTTCTCTTTTTCTTATCTGCAGATTTTAAAAAATATGTTTTGTTTTGTTTTTTTTTTAGATTTTATTTATATTTTTGACAGAGAGAGATATAGCGAGAGCAGGAACACAAGCAGGGGGAGCGGGACAGGGAGAAGCAGGCTTCCCGCAGAGCAGGGAGCCCGATGTGGGACTCGATCCCAGGACCCTGGGATCATGACCTGAGCCGAAGGCAGACGCTTAACGACTGAGCCACCCAGACGCCCTAAAAAATATGTTTTGAATACTAATCTTTTCTTCTATACTTTGCAAACATCTTCCATAGTATTTCTGGTCTTCTGGTATTAAAACAAATTATTTATGACATCTTTGGTTCAGTGCAAGTAATAATTGTGACGTCAAATTTATCCAACTTTTCTTTAGTGGTTCGCTTCACGACGACATAAGGACATCTGTAGTTTCTTGTGAGAATTAAAATGCTATTTTTTAAGTTTTGGTTTTTAATTCATCTGGAATGTATTTGAATACGCTGCAAGGTAGAGATACAATTCTAGTTTTTCCATATGGAAAATTATTGGTCCCCACATAATTTATTGAACAGTTAAGTCTTTATTCTAAGCCATCATATACCAAGTTTTCATATAGGCATTGTTTTTAGACTCTATTCTGTTCCAATAATATAGATGTCTGTTCTACACAAATATATTTTAATTGCAACAGCTTTAAAATCTAAAGCAATCTTGACAAAGGACAAAGCTAGAGGCATCATGCTTCCTGATTTCAAGCTATATTACAAAGCTGTAGTATTAAAACAGTGTAGTATTGGCATAAAAATATATGGATCAGTGAACAGAGAGCCAAGAAATAAACCCATGCATATATAGTCAACTAATATTCAACAAGGGAGCCAAGCATATTCATTTAAATGGTGCTGGAAAAACTGGATAACCACATGCAAAAAAATGGAACTAGCCCCCTATCTTAAAACAGTCACAAAAATTAACTTGAATTGGATTAAAGATTTAAACATAAAATATGGAACCATGAAACTCCTAGAAGAAAACCCAAGGAAAAGCCCCTTTACAATGGTCTTGGCAGTGATTTTTTGGATTTGACACCAAAAGCAAAGGCAACAAAAGCAAAAATAAAGTGCAATAAAATCAAAAATAAAAGAAAAAAATAAAGTAGGACTACATCAAACTAAAAAGCCTCTGCACAGCAAAGGAAACCATGAACAAAATCGAAAATGTATGGAATGGGAGAAAATATTTGTAAATCATATATCTGATAAGGGGTTAATATCTGAACTATATAAGGACCTCATACAACTCAATAGTAAAAAAAAAAAAAAAAGTCTGATGAAAAAAATGGGCAAAGGACCTGAATAGATATTCTTCCAAGGGAGACATACAAATGGCCAGCATGTACGTGAAAAGG